CTATATTCTCAATGATCTTCATGTTCGACTTCCTATTCCACCACTCCTTTATTGTGACAATCTCAGTGCTCTTCATATGACAGTTAATTCTGTCTTCCATGCTCGTAGTAAACATATTGAGCTTGACTACCATTTTGTTTGGGAACGAGTTGCTCGTGGATTTCTTGTCACCAAACATGTCTCATTGGATCAACAAGTGGCTGAAATTTTCACTAAACCAGTGACTAAAGCTGCTCTTCCTTTCTTCCGCTCCAAACTCTGCCTCCTGCCCCAGCATAGTTTGAGGGGGGATGTTAACAGACAAGTCACTTCCGAAATTGACGAATTCGAGTGTGAGGTGCAATAAGGTGTATGGAGTTATAAGGCTGATCACACTCATCAATGATGAGATATGTTTGGCTGTTAAGAAATCCTAGAGTATCTTGAATCCTAAAGATTGATTGCTTCCAATCATTACCAAAATTATCTAGTAAACTAGGTTAGTCTTATCCTTGTAGTTTACTGTACAAAAAAGGCTCTTTTATAAATAAAGAGCCACTCGTACAAAGAAGCATTGAGTCAGAAAACAAACAGAAGCAATACAATTTCTTTTTAAGAAACAAAATTACTCTAATCTAGGGTTACAGTTTACGTTTTTTTAATCTCTTTTTACATTTCCAATACATGTTTTTATATTTTTAATACAAAAAACACCTAAAACCACACACTAAAAAACGAAACAAACACACCATTAAAGAGGACAAAAGAAAGCATGTTTTGCATTGATTCCACGTTTTACTTCGAGTTTGTTCTACAAACCCATATTGCCCTAAAAAGTAGAAATAGACCACCAAAATTTTTTCTAAAAAAGCAAAAAAAAAAATTATACTATCTTGCACAACAAATCCCTGACTTAATTGGCTTTGGTAGCCTAGCATTCTTGATGAAAACATTCTGAGCAGCTTCTCCTTTTTAGTACTTGATTAGTCAGGAGTACATCGAATTTATAGAGCTTTATGAAAACCACAGTTCTCTTCTCATTCTAGCTAGGAGTACTCTCCGAAGCATGTATTCAAGCATGTATTCAAGATTATATCTTCCCACTGCTAAAAAAAAAAAAACAAAAGCGAGCCAAAAACATGTTTTATGATACTTGGCAGATTATTTCCCAAGATCCGTGTGTTTTTCTCAATAAGTCCCTACGTAAGTACAAAATCAAGATACAAATATTTACATCAACAAACAAAATCTCAAGATTAAAAAATCGACATCATTTTAAACCATAATTAGCAAGATTAAGTATGGTATTAGATGTCTCTCTTGGCGGAAATTCTTTTATGTCTAAGTTGTTCATTTGTTTGGAAGAGTTTTTTAATTATAAAATGTGAAGGCGGGAGGAATCTGGAAAAAAAGAACAGAGTTCTCTAGAAATTTCAATTGGGATGATAATGACTTAAATGACGAAAATCTCCTAGAAGACAGTAGGAATTGTTCCAACGATGAAACACTGTTCCTCTTGGGGCTCTCGCTTTTATTATATGAAAGAGAGTAGAAATAGATATAAGCCGTGTTAAAGTCTGTAAAACATATATATGAACATTAAATAATCATGTTACTTTGCAAATAAACTGTTGTTTTAGGAATTAAGATATAACCAAGGGCAAACCAAGCTGCTTGAAAAAAAGGCCAGCTTCTATTTTAAAAGCAAAAATTGAGCATAGGATCCTCTGACAACTCCAGGAAAGTACGGTTTTTCGAAGAAATTAACGAAATAGATATTGGAAAAACATTAGTGAAATTGAAGAAATTAAGGCTTTGTTTATTTTCTTTTCTTGATGGTATTTTTAAATTAAATTATTATTAACCGTCTCATCTCAATATATTTTTTTATATTTTCAATACAACTTTTTACATTCCTAATTAAAAAAAATACCTAAAAATATACATTAAAAAAACAAAACAAACAAAACTTTCCCGGTTTGACTAATTGAACTAATGAAACACCCAGTACGAGCAGCGTTCATAAAAGAAGTAAAAAAAAAAAAAAAAACCCTTAAAACTGGAAAGGTCAAATACCGGATATACACTTATAATATGGCTAATGACTTGTACTAATAAAATGACTTTGACAAAACCGCAACGACAAATAAAACAATTGGTAGTATTCCTAGCTGTAGCTTCTAAATGCATTGCATTTAGCATATAAGTCTCTCCGAGAAAAAAGTAGCACTACTAGTAGTAGTATAATACAATTCCATTTTATTTAAATAAATAAATTTGTACAAGTCAGCTAGCTATAGCCGTATGTTCTTCATTTGCCTTCTTTACAAAAACCAACCCCTAGAATTAGATTATAATCGGCGAATCGTTCGTCATTTCTTCTTGGAATAAAGAATCATCCATTGGCCATTTCCCTTTCAATTTTTAATAAGCTGTTACATTAGCTCATTGGCTAAATAGATCGAAACCACAGTGTCTGAACGTCGTGGATTAAACAAATCAGAAGTTTAATTAAATCAGTGGGGACAACTGAATCTAGTGGACACATTGTTTAATGTTGTTTTAACTACTCTAGTTTTGTTTTTTTGTGTTTTAGTTTAATTGAAATTGTTTATTGATCGGGATAATGCGTACTAGTAATAATAATATAATTGTAGACGGTACCAAACTTGTTACCGATCAACTTGGAGATGGAAGCAGCATGCAGAATAAAGAGATTAATTAATATAATTGACCGACTTTTCTCTTCTTCAATAAACAAAGAATAAACCAAGTTGCCCGACAATTTAGGAGTAAGTTTCCCCTAAGAAAATGTTTGCCAATTAAGGCAAAACAACATTACCAGTCTATACCGGTGGTTTTCAAGTAACAAACAAGCTACGCATGTAAAAGAGAACAACGTCGAATTGAACAAAAAAAAATACAACTTCAATGTCGAATTTTGATTTTTAACTTCCAATACAATTTATATTAAAAATAAAAATATAAATTAAACAATAAATTTGGAACGGAAGGAGTATTATTTATAGAACGATTAGTGGGATGTGATTGTATTTCTTGCAAGTAAATTTTTCTTCCAAATTCTCAGCGGCCGCCCACAGCAGGTCTAACCAACAGTCTAATTAATACGATCATCATGTTTTATGGATTAATTTAGTCCTGAGACTTTGACAGAGTCAACATTTTACTACTTCGCTGTTATAAGGCATAGAAGAAATGGGAGTTCTTAAAGCTTTAAAACAACGTTCCCAAATTGTATAGAATTAAATGATTTTATTTATTCATTTGTTTATTTTACGGAAGCAATGTTTTCAAGTTAAGAATGCTGGAGAAAAATATGTAGAGTTTGTATTTCACAGAATTTGATTTTAAAAGAGTACAATACTACTTACTCCATCCCAAAAATAGTTTATTGAATTTGTAATTTCCATTATTTTTAGTACAAATATTAAAATTTAATGTGAATTATTCTCTCCGTCGTCTCAGAAAAATAGTCCACATTGAGTTTTTGAATTGATATTAAAATCAATACAAATATCAAAATTCAATGTGAAAGTATTTTTTTTATAATATAGGTATTATTTTTGGATAAATGGAATAATGTTTTGGAAGATAATTTTTGATATTTGCCGTTTAAGCCACTATGTTTTTCTTGTACAGTGAGTATGACTATATGAAAGTTTTAAATAAACGAGCCACAATGAATGAAAATTGATGATATGACGAAAGAGGAGTCTTTTCAAATTATGGAAATTTGTTTGTATCTTTTGAAAAGATCAGTGTAAAACTCCATATTAATATGGCATATGTATAGGGAGAATAACACAGATTAACAATACTCAAAATTAGTCAAATGGCACGGTCCAATTACGGAATTACCATTGTAAAGTCGCCTTTAAAAAATGACTAGAAATGAACTCTCAAGTGCGAAAATATAGGGGATGAAGCGTAATAATAGTCCAAGCTAGTTGGATAAGCATGAAGAGACCGGCAACCGGGGAAACAAGTAACCCACGGGCTCAAAATTGAGCGCCCACAGACCGGAGCAGCAGCGGGAAAACCAGAAACCAGTATCCTGTTTTGAAATCCTTCCTTTCTCTCCCCACAACTTTACATTGAACACGACCTCCCGAAAACCAGGAGCGAGCTCAGGTGGGGGCCACTCTCCCCACAAGTGGTGTTAGTGGGTCATTGTTCTCCACGAAATGTGGCGATTCGACCGAACCCTGACACTTTCACGTGTCTACCACGCGCCACATCACCCTCCCATCATTCCTGCTGCATGGCACCCGCACCCCTATGCTCCCCCACACTCCCTCCACCTGGTTTTGTACTTACATTTGTTGGATCACCTCGATTCAAGATACATTTGAATTTCCTGCCTTTTTAGTAGTACCATAAAGCCGTTTTCATTAACTGGACTTTTCTTAAATTCAAGTAAAATTACGATTTTGTACCGAAAAACTTATGAACTTTTGGGTTCATATGATGTATACTGCTACCTCTTGGACTAGCTAGTTAGATAACAATATGAAGAGATCAACATAAGAAAATGCATATGTAACCATATTTGATGTGGACAAGAATCTCTAATAGATAATTTTTGAGTCTTCATTCCGTTTAAAACTAAAAATTAAGTTCACTAAATTACATAAACACGCGATGATAATTTCTTTAAAGACGAGTATTGAGCACAAAGAGCGTTATGCATGTGAGCATCTCTCTAGTTACTTTCAATTGTCTAAAGGGTAGTATAGTACATGCACACACACTTCTTTTCTTTTTAGTTTTTGCCATGGCCAACAAATAAAAGTACTCATGTTCACAAAATATTTGGGGGGCGGGGTTAAGTTGGGATACTCAATGGGGGATGAAGGTGACATGGTGGCGGGGCTGGGCGAACCTACCAATAGTAGGATGATGAGGATGTGTAAGAGCCAAAAATGATTGGGGAGTGAATACACGCGGCACCAGGAGCGAGTGCTTATTTAGTATTTGGGGGAATTATTTTAAGGAAAGGAGTGAAGGTGCAGCCCCCTATTCCATGAATGTGGAAAACCTGGTTTTTCTTGAAAACATACAATAAGGAGCCCAGCAGCATCACCATCTCTCTCTATTTTTATCAAACTAGCTGCGGCCTCTTGTAATAATAATGTATTTTTAAAATTGAAGAATAAACTATTACTTGTAGTACAGGCAGACTTGTATGCAGTACTCCCAGCGGCTTTTGCAAAACCCATCTGGTCACGTTTACCTTCTTAGCCCCCTCCCCTATATATCTCTCTTACTTTTTCAAATCATTTACTTCCCATTCCAGATTTCCAGAGTCGCTCACAATAAACCACCCTAACAAACCCAACAAAAGAAAAAAGGAAAAAATTATTAGCATTTTGGCTCAAGCAAGTCTCAAGTAAAATCAACCACAATGCGGATGAGTTGTAATGGATGCAGAGTCCTTCGTAAAGGATGCAGCGAGAATTGTAGTATCAAGCCTTGTCTTCAGTGGATCAAAAGCCCTGAATCACAAGCCAATGCCACTGTTTTCTTGGCTAAGTTTTACGGCCGAGCTGGGCTCATGAACCTCGTCAACGCCGGCCCTGATCATCTCCGTCCTGGTTAGTTCTCTATCTCTCCATGCATTTCTTTCGTCGTCTTCTTTTCTGAATATGTTTTATTTATTTATTTTTTTTCTAACTGAACTTTTTTACATGGCTGCAGCGATATTTAGATCTTTGTTATACGAGGCCTGTGGGAGGATCGTGAACCCGATTTACGGGTCGGTCGGGTTGCTGTGGTCCGGTAACTGGCAACTTTGTCAGAACGCGGTAGAGGCGGTCTTGAAAGGGGCTCCGATCACACAAATAGCTACTGAAGCTGCGGAGACCAACAATGGGCCCCCTTTGAAGGCTTACGACATTCGTCACGTCAGCAAGAACGATAACAAACTCGACGGGTCGGGTACTGATCTTCACCGGGTCAGGTCCCGGTGCCGGTTCAAGCGATCCTCGGCTAAATCGAAAGCTGGAAAGGTTGACGTGAGACCGTTGGTGGAGGATGATCTCAGTCACGATGAGGAGAACCGGTCGACGAGCCACGAGTCGTCGTTGAGCCACCAGTCTGAGGCAGCGGCGGCGGCGGCGGGGAATGTGGAAGGAGAGAGCCGGAATTCCGAGAGCTTGGCTTCCGAAGAGACGGCTGAAGCTGAGATTCTAGAAACAGTCGATGACGGGTCAGCGTTGGGTTCAACAACTACTGCAGATAAACAATCTGAGTTTGGGGAAATTGAGCTGGAATTGACGTTGGGGTTCGAATCATGTTCTAGAGCTTCCGCTTCGAAGCCGAAACAAACGTGGCGGAATGACGCCGCTGACGTGGATGCGTCGTGCCGGATGGAGCTGGGGCTGCATTATTCGGCTTGAATAGAAGCCGACCAGCTTTTTTTTTTTTTGGCATGTTGAAAACTTTTTGTTTAAGTTTTTGTCTTGCAGCACTGAGTTTTGTTTTTAATTTTTAGTTTTCCTTTTTTGGAGGCCTCTTTCACTAGCTAGCCAGTATGACGTGTGAAAGAGTGCTGCTGAGAGATGTATAGAGAAAGAGATAAAATGTACACAATTAAGGCACAAATGTTAGAAGGAAGGAAGGAATATCATCGATCAAATAGAAAAAAAGTCTTGCTTGCAAGACATATCTTCTTGAGAATTCATTTCAATTTATGTATTGACTTTTTTTTGTTCACTATATCCCAAACTAAATACTAGTACATCTGAATTATGTGTTAAGCAAGAGAAAAATTCACATCCAATTAACATTAATATCAATACTCGGTATGATGGGATGCCATTATCCAATAATCAGTCTCCATAATAGCCCTTAAGAGGTAATGGACAACTATATTTGGGCGAGCTCTAAATCGATTAGCAACTCCTGAAACTGCTACCCATTATGTCAAAATTGCTGACTGTTATCATTATATGTTGTAGTAATTTATTCCGTACCGAAGGAGATGCACTTTGTTTCTTTTTTTTTTTTTTTAAGGAAAAACAAACTCCATTCATATTACTGGAAAAGGTCCAGTACCATTTGATATAAGAATAAACCGTCTAAAATGACGTACTTGAACCATCCTAATGACGTACTCACGGAACTAGTCACTGCACCAGTGACTAGACCAATACAACTGCCAAAAAGGTTGACAAACCTATAATGACATAAATCTAGTGTCAGATATATCATGGAACAGAACAAAAGTTTGAACTCAAATATATCACTAATTCGCAGACTGAAGTACAAAACTGTACAACGAACAGCACACATCAAATTTGGACTCGACCAACGGATTCGGTTCCATTGACGCACTAAATTCACTGAGTAAAGAAACAATCCGATATCTATACTGAGGGTGGGTTATCCCACTTGATTGAATTAAAATACAATAATAAAAAAGCCAAAGGACAGCAGGGGCCGGCAACAGAGCGGCAGAGGCAGAGGGCGGCAGCAGCAGAACGGCAAAGGGCGGTAGGGGGTGGATCGAAGGCGGCAGTGGGTAGATCGATCGAAGGCAGCGGAGGGTGCAGCGGTGCGGCAGAGGGACGGCAGCGATTGGATCTATCGAGGGCGGCAACTGGTGGATCGATCGAGGGCGGTAGAGGGTGGATCAAGGGCGGCTGAGGGTGCAGCGGTGCGACAGAGGCGGCAAAGGGAGGCGGAGACTGGAGGCTGACCAGATTAAAGAAAAGGGGCGGGGGATGAAAGGAGAAAAGCAAATAAAAGTAAAAGAGAAAATAAAACAGGACTCCCCCAACCGCGGTTAATGGAGGTTGGGGGAGGGGGATTGTTTAGTCCCTTTGAGGTTGGGAAACAGGGAGAGAGAGAAATGTTACTTTGTTTCTTGATTACTGTAAAGTTTACAAACGTCTCTTTAATTCAATTCCATTATTTAGCTAGGCATTCCAATTTCCATGAGGATACGTTTGCTTGCAAAATATCATGGGTAGTTTGGTTTTCTAACTATCAAAATAGTGAAACATGTCATCACTAGTATTGATCGATTAATTCTAAACCTTCTGGATATTTTGTGGCTACATTAGGAAGTCACTAATTAGCATTTTCAGAGGAAACAAAATAAGAAGATCTATGGCCAAGCATAAATTTGCATATGGCTCGAGTTTTAAAGATGTAACCATATACATGTAGGAGTTCAGCCAATTTGTATTCTGATCATATGATTTATTGGTTAGATACATGTGAGCAGTGAGCCATCTACGTATTATCACTAAGCAATCGTGAGGTATTCATAGATTGAGCATAAGAACAATTGTCTTACGTGATTTATATGTTTATCCCTCTGGGTTTTTAATATAAAGTATTTTAATTTGTCATAGATTTCATTTAATATGTATTTTTAATTGATAAATAAACTTTAAAAATAGTTTCACCTAATACATATTTTTAATTGATAAAAAAAACCTTAAAAATATTTCATAACAATATATAGAACACACCGAATGTAAAAAAAAAAAAAAAATATTTTTAGGTTTTTTTTTTGTCAATTAAAAATGCATACTAGAGATGAAACCAACGACAAATCAAAATGCCTTATATTTAGAACTGGTGGGAGTATTACAGAACCATTTGCAAAATGCAGAATTATGATATCGATCAATTAGCCAAAATAGAATATATTTGTTAAATTACAATAGTAGTAGACTCTCGCTCTACTTTTCAAACGCAAACGGGCAAAGTTGTTCATAGAGTTAATTGAATGCTCTGCACTCACAAGTGAATATAAATGAAAAAACCAGTGAATTTTGTAGAATGTCAAAAAACAAACAGCAAAACAAAATACACCACAAAAATTTCCTCCTACTCACCTGGAACGGAAATTCAGCTGTAGCAAACTTTCTACATCACAATCAACAAGCTGCCATAATAAACAATTAAAACCCGAAGAATTAGTCTTCTGAAAGTAATAGTATTTAGCCAGGTTTTAGAATGTTAAAAACAAAGCTGTGCAAATTGCGAAAAATGACAATTGGGTACTGGAAAAACCATGAAAAACAATGCATAGAAACATCAGATGCAGCCCAATTATAAAAGCCCATAAAGGAAACAGTAGCCTCCATAAGCCCTCCAGAATTGGGAATTTCTAGTTCCCACTGCCCAGTTTTCAATTCTCCTCTTCCACTTCCACATGGAGGAGAGAGTTCCTTCGAGAATCAACATTCACCGACGAAAATTGTCAGAACTAAAAATGAAGAAATTCTTTGTCTGGCTCTTTTTTGGTACGCAATTCACCTTTTATGTTGGATGGTTTTCTACTTGTGGAGGGAAAAAATGATTGCCAGTCCGGTGCTATTGTTTTTGTTTTCTTGTTTTTTCCCAGTGGCATTTGGTTTTACTGAATTGTAGTTTTGTGAGGAACTTATCTCAACATAGCACTGGTGCTGTTGTTTATTCATCGCCATTGACATGTATTTTTTGGCTGATTTTATTACGAATTCATTTGAATGTTTACTTGTTCTATTTTTAGTTTGGCGAGTAGAATCTGGGCTCTTGTTTTTCTGTGTAGTTATCTGAGGAGTGAGGTCGGAACTTATTTTGTTCAATTTTCATGCACGTGTGAATTAGTTGCAGAAATAAGTGTACAACGTCAAGGTTCTTATAATATGTGAATCGCCGGTTCTAGCTGATCTTAAAGATAGTATTAGTCTAATCAACCATAATTGTCAGGACGTAGAAGTTGTGCTTAAATTTTTTAATGGAAATTGCGCACATAATGTGTGCATTCTGGATAGTTGGCAAAACGAGGGAAGCTCTGCATTGAGTGTCTTGATCGTTTTTTCATTGTTCCTGAAGTATACGAGTATGCATTTCAGCGATCGAAGTACTATTTCATGTGCTTTTTTATATGTTCCATGTGGAGGGGGTTTCTTCTGTGTTTTGTATCCATGAGGTGCTCATCGATGCACTAGTAATGTTTGAAATATCTGTTAGGTTGGTTGTCTATGTTGAGACTTTGTACTTGAGTCCTTGTGACTTCATACTGATCGCTTGATGTAGTAAGTTGTTTTAAGCCCGAGATGGTGGGCTGAGCGCTCAGGATATGCTTGTTTCTTTGTTGTGCTTGTTTCTCATTGTGTGTATTTTCATGGATGGAAACAACAAAAACATGTTCAGAAACCGGCCTGATCCAGACTTAAAGAGACAAGGAAATGCTAAAAGAGGAAAAGGGAACCACTTTAACCATAAAATTTCAGAATATCCACATCAACCAGTGACAATTTATAGAATTATCCGTTCATCTATAAAATATCGGTAGTGGTAGTGGAAAAGGTGGTGGAATGATCCAGGTATGAGAGAGGAGACCTGAGCAAAGATCACTGTTGCTGATTCTTTCCTGGTCCAGACAAAAGAATGATACTCATTGCTAATCCTTCTACAAAACTGGATAGATGACAAAACTATGGGAGAGCTTGTGATGATCTGGTTACTAAGGAAGGAAATGATTTGCAGAGCCTCAATCTGCTGCTTGAGATGCTCTACTTGAGGTTTATGACAGAATTGTTGCGGAAGATATGGCACGAACAATGCTGATTTTAATGAAATTGTGGTTACTGCACGCCTTATTGTTCCAAACTATATTTATGGGGGTCTTTTAGGTTAAAAAGAAATGTCATCCAGAAATGGAGCTCAGACTGGTGCCAACATTCTTATTCTTTCAGTTTACCATCTTCCTTCCTGCCCCATGAATAACGAGGAGTTGGTGCAAGTATGTACATTTGACCATTAGCTTAAGTTCTATCTTTTGTTTAGAGTTATACATGTGATAGTTTTGTGGACTTTTACTAGATTCTCTCTTGCTTCAATTTGATGCTCTCATGTTTATTTGTTATTAATGTTGGTTTATAGTTCACCTGATGACCTCAACGTGATGTTATCAACCTTAAAATTTATCTTATCGCTTTTGGTGGTGAATGAAAGAGTTTATTTCTCATTAAAGGAGTTCTATGATTGGGTGAAGGGTGGGGCATAAGGTTTTGAAACTTTGTAATTGGCTCTTGCACTAAGGTTTTGACATCTCTGAGTTCACCCATCCACCTGGGATGTACCAACGTAAGCATTTGGTTTTGATGTTTAGTTTTTTTTTAGTAGATGTAAGATACTTATGAATTCTTCATATATGACTAGTTTCCTCATGTGGTAGGTTTCTTCAGATAGAAAGTAAACCTGCAGTGGCAAAGAAAGCTCTCCATCAAGTTTCAACTTCGTTGCATCAGAATTCACACAAGGACAATCCTCCTTGAAGTTTTCCTATATGTTATTCTTCCCAAGGTTCAGATCATGTTGCCTCCCACAACAAATTGCCTCCTCCAAGAAACTTATCATAGCCTCAGCTTATCCCAGAAAACAACGATTTGCGTAGTCCTTGGCTCGAAAGATATGTAAATCAGCCTTCTAGATTTGGCCCAGGAGACAACGATAATTTTTCCTCCTGCCATGCTGAAGGGGCAGCATCTATGTTTTCAATGAAATTTTTTTTGCTTGGCTGCAAGATAAGCTGAGTAACTGGCAAAGGAGGCTTCAACGTGAAACAACTACAGAAAGACACAGGAGCAAGTATCAAGTTGTGAATGTTTTGCCAGAGTCAAACGAAAGAATAATTTCTGACTCCTCAAATGAGGTTAGCTGATTTTTTATTTTTTATTTATCACTTGTTTGGAGCAATGTAGTACTTGGCAGATGACTGAAGTGCATGTATGTTTCCGTTTCTTTGGCATCCAAGATCTCAAACCATTAATACCATTTGTCAACTTCAAAATAGAACTGGTGAGTGAGAAATATCACCACTAGGCTTCTGGTCCCATCAAGTAAAGTTGGCTGCATTCTTGGGCAACTAGGTCGGGTTGTCAATGAGAT